GCGTAAATGTGCAGTCATATTCGTTGTGTTCCCACTAGTGCTGTCAGCGTTAATCTCGTTGAAATGACATTAATGCTACAACACGGCAAATCTCCGTTAACGAGCTACCCCTGATCGCCCCGTGTGTTGGGCTAGACGGCCAACACGTTAACAAGCTAACTGCGCTAACACACTAGTTCCCACCTATGTAATTGAGCATTGCGTGGCACATCCAACATACTGTTTTACTTTAGTCCATGACGCGCTTACCTTCAGGGTCATACGTCACATGAAAACCAAAATAATTCCAAATGCCAGATCTGAATGAGGGTGGGGGAGGTTCAATTTGCCATGTTGCAAGGAGAGCTTAACTTCTGTCTCGCTAGCTTGCCCTGCGCTCTACCTTCTGACGATGCTGTCTGTGTTGAGTGCTCAGTGGATCTGCGTTCGACAGTGCAGCCTAGGCGGAGTAGTCGAACGCAGATTCACTGAGCGCTCAACACAGACAGCATTGTCAGAAGGAAAGTTGATAAAATAAATTACAAATTTTCTATTGTTCAATACATATGCGTACCGTACCGAAAGCACTGTATCGAACGGTTCAATATCGATACGAGTATCGTTGCACCCCTACTATCTATCTATCTATCTATCTATCTATCTATCTATCTATCTATCTATCTATCTATCTATCTATCTATCTATCTATCTATCTATCTATCTGTCTAAGAGATTTACACAGATAGATACTATCTATCAATAGATATAAGTTACTTTAGCTGTTTATATTATGTCAATATAATAATGTGCACCCTTATAAATGTTATGTTTATTGGTTATTCAGTGTTATCTTTCATTTATCACAGTCAGAAAATTTCTTTACAGTGTCAGCCATCAAGAATGTAGCATGCGCAGCAGCAGACAAACCAGTGAATGGATACCTGCTGCCTGTATATGGTCCAGAAGAGGAGCTCATATTGGTAAACTACCGGTGCCATCCACCTTTCAGGCTGATTGGCATGCAGCAGAGGACCTGTCTACCTAATGGCACATGGAGTGGCACTGCTCCCTCATGTGTAAAAGGTTTTTCTTGTGTGTTTTAACTCCTCCCATGGTGCTTGTTGTGTTCTGTTATAGTGTTTGCACACTATTATTGACAGTTAGGAAATACATTTTTCTCTCTTTTGTCTCAACTGCATACAGGTCCAACAAGCCTGGTCCGGTGCGCTCCTCCACCCAAACTGCTCCACGGATATCACAGACCTGCTCTTGACTCAGCTGGAGGTGCTGAGACAATTGAGTTTTTCTGTAAAACCTCCTACATTTTAAGTGGAAACCACCAGAGTACCTGTCTCTCTAATGGATCCTGGAGTAGCAGGTCACCAAAGTGTGTTAGAGGTAATAGTTTTCAAAAAAAAAGGAAGAAAGATTTAGGTTGTAGCTGCTTTTCCTCCTCGTTGTTACATGAGGAAAAAAAAATAGAGTATAGAGTATTACATTGTAATATATTGTAAACTGGGAAGTTTATAAAGAAAGATTAGACATTCTTATGTGTTTGTCACTACAGTATTTAAGTCCCTGATATTTTTAAGCAGAATCATTTACATACACATCTACTTATTGTTGCCACCTGCTTGATTTACCTTCACAGTCTGTCGAGAACCCAGAGTTTCTGAACTTGTACGGCAAAGTGTTGTGAAGCCACACCTATTGCTAAGGTAATGTTATATGTGTGTATGTATGAGTTTTGCACACTTAAAGTTATTATTTTGGATTTTTTTATGTTACTTTGTCATTATACAAATTGCTGTGATGGTTTTACTTTGTGAGGAAAAAAACTGAACAATCCGACAGACTTTCCTCTTCCCTGTTCTTTGATTTGATAGCAGTGACAGCAGTTTATGTAGCTATCTGGTGTATTGCCCTGACACATCTTTGAATTTTGCTCATATTCATGCCATGGGTGCTTCAAAGACCAGAGTCGCGCACTTAAGTGCAGCATATTCAAAAAAAGCAATGTAGCATGCATGTGAAAGAAGAAGTCATTTATGCCCCTTATTGTGTCCCAGATGCTAAGCACTAGTAGAACTTGAAGCAAACATAGGTTATTCTCTTCTTGGTTTTATGATTGAGTAAATCCACACATTGAAAATGAAATGTCATTTAGCTCTAAAACAAAATAAGAAAGGACATGAGTGGGAGCACATTGGTAGAATTTGGAGGCTCAAAAAATATTGGAAATATCAGTTTGTAAACAATGAATAAGCAAATCTGTATATGGGTAAATAAAAGATAAACAAGATGTATGTATATGTATAAAAACTCACAATGCTTATCACACTGAAAAGATGAGCTTTAAAGGCAAACTATCTCTTTCTTTTAGACAGCGTTCAGACCAGACTCACCTCTCATCCAGATACAGCATGGATGATTTGTTGTCCGCTGGCTTTATTCCACTAACATCCGGTGGATTGTCCAGAGAGAAAAATGATGACACCTCTTTGGCCGAGATACCTCGAGGTTTTCACCCAGTCTACACTAGCATCGACTACAAGTGTGCTTCACCTCTCTATCGAAACAAAGGAAGCTCTCGACGCACCTGTCTGAAGACTGGAAGGTGGAGTGGGCACTATGTTTCCTGCTCACCAGGTGAGATCAGCAAAAGTTTACGCCTAGCTTGTTAAGTGAAATCTCTCTTAAAAAACAGAGAAATATAAAACACCATATTGGTACATTGCACAGACACAAATACCAGCTAACTCGTGCTTATGGAGATGATACTTTTAGCTGCAAAGGGTCACCAAAGCAGGTGGAGCCACTTTGGTGGTGGTGCTTTTATGCTGAGTGCCCTTCCTGAAGCAACAATCTGATTTATCCTGGCTTTGGGCTGATACAGTACCAGGAGTATGCTAGCCTGTGACCCTGTGTCTCCTCCTGGTCTCAAACCAGGGATCTTTTGCATGCAAGACAAATGTGTACTTTTGTACTTCTGTGTACAGAAAAAGTATTAGTTTCACTGACTACAAGTGAGGAATAGACTCATCTGACAGGCTGTTAGTTACATACAGTTCACCAGTTTTAACCACACATTACCCATTAGCCTTTACTCATAATATCAAGTTTTTTTGCAACAAAGATGGTGATGGTGGAAACGCTCATCTTGAGGCTTCATAACATGATTCCAGAAACAAATGGTAGGAATTTGGTGGGTTTTTTTAAAAGCCAACCTAAAGTGGTCATTTGAGGAACTGCACTTTTTGGCTTTATTTTTCTTCTTGACCAATACATTCCAGCGTTGTTAGCAAATTTCAGAAGTATATTCTTAAGTAAGCTAAATTGATGTGTGAACTTAGCTCTTACACATGAAAGATTGTAGTTTGACTAAAACGAAATAATGATGATCTGTTTGAGTTCAGAAGCAACCTACCGCAGATATTAGATTCATTCTGTAACATTTATATTGCAATTTTGTGACTCTTCTGCAGTTACACGACACTTTTAAATGAATCATCTTGGTCACAGTGACATCTTATTAAGAAAAAAATTACGCAGACTTATTTTGATTTTGAAGTAATTCTTTGACATTTCTGGAAGTCAACTGATCATCATTCTTACCTGTCTGTCTGTTTTTAAGGGCTAGATTCTAATTTTAAAGCCACTTTCACATCTGCACTGTAAAATTTAATACGTTTCTGTTCTTTGTCCTCTGTGATGTCACAGTTTGTGGCAAATTTGACGCTTTCAGCAGACACAACCTCTCCGACGCTCAGTGGCCATGGCACGCAGCCATTTATATCCGCTCACCACCTGATCACACTGTGAGCACCTACACGTCCCCTGGAAGGATCATAACAGACCAGCAGGGGGCCTCAGAGGAGTCCACATTCTGGTTCCTGGCCTGCAGTGGAGCTCTTGTCGCCCAGCATAGAGTCCTGGTGGTGGCTCAGTGTGTGGTAGACAAGAACAAGCAGCAGCACATTCAGCCTGAACATGTGAAGGTTGTCATAGGCAAGCAATACCATACACCCAGGGATGTGTTGAAAAGCCAGCACCACCTGAGGGTAAAGTCCCATATGCATGACAACTTTTTACTGTTTAAACTTGCCTAAACGATGCAGTCTAAATGGATTATTAATGCCTTTTTATATCAGTAAATCCTTTGCAGGTCAGGTTATATGGCAAATGGTCATCTCACTTTCACCCCACATTAAACCTAGAAGCCACCATTTGGCCTGAAAATGACCAAACAGTGCTCATAAATATGTGGTCTTACATTAGTTTTTTCTTTTTTTGTAAGTCATAAAGTGCAGAAATGCTTATAAATTCTGCAGCACAACAGTTGATAAAAAAAGAAAAGAAAAATCAGTCTTAATTAAATTGAAGTTATTTTTTGGATATATATTTGTTTGTAAATGTATAAAGTGGATAAGGTGCATATTTGATATGCACTTAAAGCTTACATGGAATGCAGCTATATTTTCTTTGGTTCTGCACATCTTGCATGCATATAATCTAATCTTGATGTGTATTCCAAAAACAACAAAACTTGGCATGCAACTCAGTAGTCTAACTTCCAATTCTCCCTCATCTTCTCTTTCTGCCCCAGCAGGTTTCAGAGATAGTAGTCCATCCAAATTTTTTCTCCTCACCAGACTCTGATGTGGCTGTGCTTAAGCTAAAAGACAAGGCCAAGATCAGAGAGCGCGTGTTGCCTGTGTGTCTACCCAAAACGCAAGGAGGGGAGGTGACTGCGCAGGAGGCTTACACCGCGAGGTGGATTTTACCAAGCAATCCGAGGCACCTGGGCCACTCTGCAACCTTGAGCCTGACAAAACTTGTTGAGCTGACTGATGTTACTCATTGTGAAAGAGAATTTGCTCAAGGAGGGGCACATACCACAGCGATCAGTGACAATTCATTGTGTGTCATTAGCAAACCGTCCAGTCCTCAGAGCGCCTGCCCAATTGTTATTCCAGGCATCACAACCATGCCAGCTGTGTTTTCATCCACAAGGGCTGTCTTGTCAGGTCACGAGGATACTCACCGAGCCTCTAGTGCAGGCTGGCAGCTGCTTGGTTTAGAGAGAGCAACATCTTTTGAGAAAAACAACTGCAACCAACCGAGTTACACAGTTCACACACAAATTGCAAACTTTCAAGACTGGATAGAGCAACATGTGAAATAGGTGCTTTTGGTACAATCTTATAAAAGGCAGAATTTCAGCGATGTTAATAATTAAATCTGAGTTCTGTATATTTCAGTGCTGCTAATTATGCAAAACAAACTAAACTAAACTGGTTTTAAGCACCTAATGCATACCTACTTCCTATACTACCATGTGATCGTTAGAACTCTATTATGTGTTTGCACCTGCAGCGATCACTCCCATATAAAACACATCCTCATGCTTCTAAGAATAAATTGCTGTAATAAAAAAGACAGACAACTGTTGACCTATTTATTCTCAAAACATGGGTGGTTATGTAATTATTGACATCTAAAACATTAGTTCCAAGCAGTTATTGTTTTGTTTTTTTAGTAAAGCTAGTTGATTTATAAAGTATATTGTGTGAAACATGTAACATGCTTTTCTACAATATAAATTGCACAATATGCATTAAAAATGTGTATTTCTGCATCATTTAACTTTTTGCCATTTCAAGTAAACTTTAATTGTGTTATATTTACAATCTATTTACAACTAGGAAATGAATTGTGTTTAAATAATTGTATCACACAATTTGACACAAAAACCGTCTGCAAAGAACCTTGTGAGTACTTTTGACCAGCATTTAAATTGAATCTCATATCTCAAAGCTCATCCAGTGCTTTCTTGACTACTTTCACTTACTTTTCACATTTGGCAGTCCTCCCATCTTCATCTGGTCCAGAACATACCAAGTAGGCTGCTAACAAAAACTAACATCACTGTCTTCCAGTGAAATTCAAAATTCATTTTTATTTTTCATTAATTACAAACAAATATACAGTAAACCTGCTGAGACCCAATTCCACCTATCAGCCTCTCTGAATATGGGTCTTTTAACTGTTCCATGCTCTTATTTTATAACCATTGGCCACCACATTTTTAAGGTTGTAGCTGCATCTGCACACAGATTGAGCCTTCCTACCCTATCAAGGTGGCTGAATCTGTGTTTTGTTTGCTGATAACTCTTTTTTTTCTAGGTTTTTCTTAATCTTTCACCCAATATTCTTGGCTGTTTTTCACATCTAATGTGTGGAAGTGTGTGACAGGAAGGAGTGTATGATATATGCTCGTGTTTTTATACGTTTTGACACGTATGAGCACTTTTTCAAACACACTGCTCCAAAAATAAAGTTATTGTTATTATCATTATTTTATTATTATTATTTTTATTGCACATTGTTTCAGTCATTATAAAGTACTTTAGAATTATTTCAATTGCAAATGAAATAGTTAGCCTATATTAACTTATCAGGAACAAACTGACTGGCAGCTAGGACTGGGCCATATCATACCGTTCACGGTAATACCAGTATAATGTTGGGCAACAATAAGAAAATAAAATATCACGATAGAATATGGGTAAAATGCGCAGGGCCTTTGTTTTCATATGCACATGGCGGAAAAAGCATGGTGATGACGGAGAACAAGAAGGGAGAAAGCGAATCGTTGAATGAAACAGATGAACCACAATTGGTTTGTAAAACTTCAGTGGTGTGGAACTGGTTTGGCTTTCGTCTGTCAGATAAACAACAAAGCACTTTTTGGTAGAGCATGCTAGCGGGCCGTCGTTATTATTGTGTTTTTTGGAAAATACGGCACACTTAAAATCAATCCTTTGATTTTTCTGAAAATCGACAGTGCCCCTTATAATCCCGTGTGCCTTATGTATGAATTCTGGTTGTGTTTACTGACCTCGAAATAATTTTATCTCGTACACGGTGCACGAAAATCTGTCAAATGTTTTAGTACGACTTTGCTAAGCTAGGAACTCGCACCGCTTGATGGATTGTCGGAGCATTACGGCTATCGTAGGCAGGAGCCTCTGCGGAGTGATACGACTGTGCTTCAAAATAATATTACTATTACGTGTGTATAACCTCTTTTTAAGTTTTGTGGATATTATACATGGTTATGCTGAGGATATGTCGGCCAATTTCCACTGGAAATGCCTTTTGGTTAAACTGTCAGCAAGGAATTTGCACTGTTAATGTTTTATATAACTTTAATGCACTTAAAAAACAGCTGCTTGTTTAAGTGAAAATACTTGATGGGGTTTTTTTGCACTAATAAAGTTGTGGAGTTGTAAAGTGTTTTGTCTAGTGTCAATTATATCGTCAGTTATATCGTTATTGCAAATTTTCAAATGGATATCGTGATAAATATTTTTGGTCATATCGCCCTGCTCCACTGGCAGGCATAAAAAATTGAATAATAGAATGATGTACTTGGGAGAAATGACAAAAGGCATACCTTCAGGCTGTGTTGATACCAGAGGCAGAGAGGGTTAAGATACTTTCTGATGTTTAAATAGTATTATTTGACTGTCACAGGTAAGAATATTGGCGCCTTTGGTTATAGTGTAGCGTATAATCATGCTATTGGCATTATCACTGACAAAAAAGAAATTGCTATTATTATTATTTTTTTGTAATTCACAGATCATTTTAAGAAAATGTTTCTCTCGATCAAACTCTAGAGTCTGTCTCAAAACTCAAATGGACTTGAGCGTCACAAATCAGGAGTTTGAAATAAGAGCTACTTCAATACGTCTCTCAAAGCAAAAGAGCCCAGTTACAATCTCCACCCTGTTGTTCGCTCTCTTCACCCAAGTAAAGTTTGACAAGTTACTGAATCTCTGCCACCTTAAGGCTCAATACCTCTGACCATCTTAAAGATGAGTGTAGCTGTGCAAATAGGCGTTTGTTTGCTTTTTTTTTCGTAGCTGAAATTTAGTAACGTCATCATTATCAGTACTTGAAAATACACTGAGAAACAATTCCCTGTATTTGCACTTATTTACAATCTGTGCATGTGTCCAGATGCATGGAAGCACACTGTGTGCGCATGTATCTGTCACAGCACATACGCTATGAGCAGTGCCTGTGTGTCTGCAGCATGTTGGCATGTAAGGTTATGCATTCGTGAGTTTCTCTGCAAGACCGTCCAACATGTGCTGTCATTGAGAAACACACTGAGAGGATTTGCTAAACTTAGCTCTTACTCCTGAGACACAGACATCCGCTGTGCTCTCTACAGCTTTGTGCAGGACACCTTTCAGGCTGGCCAATTAAACAGTGAGCAGCACAGTAGTTGGTCTCTGCAACTTACAGGGAGAACTGCAAGAATTAAAGCAACTGCTGGCCGTCTTATTTATGGTTGCAGTTCTGATCTTGAGATACCAGAGAAAATGCAATATTCATATTTATAATGCCTTAGACAGTAACGCATAAAAGAATCTACTGCTCATTCAGAAATTGTCGAGAAACCCACCCTACTCAACAACAAATATTGCAAATGCACTCATAGCCCCTTCTCTTATTATTTACATTTAACTGGAAACCTTGAGTTTTGCAATGTCACAGGTCTCCCAAGGTTTCCATTTTACTGTATGATGTCATGAGGCTAAAAATGGGTGGAAAGTCTGCTCATCTGTTACTCTTTAGAAGAGAGAACACCACAGCCACACCTGAGAGGAGGTACTGACCTCTAATCTCAAATCCACAGCCCTCTGTGCGTGCATCAGTGCGCTCACTGTGCATGTGCAGGGTGTTTGTTTAGCTTGCTTGGATTTCCATACCTTAGAGTAGGTGGATCCCGCTGAAGCGGCTACCTTTTCTCCAAAGAATCTTGATGCTGCTTTAGTTTTAAAGAAATTTACAAGGAAGCTGAGCAGGAAGGCGATAAATGTATCAAGGAGAAGACTTCCACAGGTGAGCACTTTACATCTAAGGAAGAGGAGAGGTGAATAATAACACCCTCCTTTGTTTTACAGGAAATTTTCATAGGCATATAACTGGAAAGCAGGTTTGTGTACAAGTCACTACATATGGAGTCCACTCAAGGTCAGGGAAAGTTCTTTTTGGTCACAGTGAGGTAAGCTGTCTGTAACTATTTGGCAAGAAAAATCTGCAAACTGGGTTTTTTTTAGTGCTGTGACAGAGTCCTAGGTAAATGGCCTGTATTTATATAGCGCTTTACTAGTCCCTAAGGACCCCAAAGCACTTTACATATCCAGTCATCCCCCCATTGGTTATGGCAAGCTATATTGTAGCCACAGCCACCCTGGGGCGCACTCACAGAGGCGAGGCTGCCGGACACTGGCGCCACCGGGCCCTCTGACCACCACCAGTAGGCAACAGGTGAAGTGTCTTGCCCAAGGACACAACAACCGAGACTGTCCAAGCCGGGGCTCGAACCGGCAACCTTCCGATTACAAGGCGAACTCCCAACTCTTGAGCCACAATCGCCCCGTATACTTTAAATGTAATGTTTGGTGCTTGGTTGTATTCCCACATCTGCTCTTAGGGCAATTGTTTGTTGTAGGTCGGCAGTGGATACTGACAAAGTGCCTAGCCAGTGAAAATCATCCATCCACAAAGACTTGAATTAAGCCACAAACAAATATCCTTTTAAAAGACAAAATGAATCACTTACATCTCACATCTCAAGAGAGGAACAAATCATAATGCATTTTATGTAGCTGACAGTTTCTTAGAGGAATGCAAAACTGCTTGCTTTTGGCCAACTGTGCATTATTAAAGATTTGTTGCTCTGTGCGATTGACTCCCACCACATTCTTCAACTGGAGACAGGGCTGCAAGGGGATGACTTTCAGAAGGATATCCCAAAGGGCTACACTGCAAATCCCACTTCTATTTTTAGTTTAATTTTAAAAAAGTGTTTTTTTTAATTCTTCTGTCAGGGAGTGTAAGCTAATAAGGGTGACGAAGCAGTAGTGGGCCCTGGTCAAAAGTGCTGTAGAATAGTCTGGTTTAAAATATTTATCAACTTTTTTTTTTAGTATATTACCATTGGAGGGGAGGAAATGTGGCTGCTGCTGTTACAGCTTTAACTAAACTGTTCTTCATTCAGGTTAAGTTTAAGAATATTCTAGTGGTTTAGGTTTAAATGTGCCCTCTTTCTTCTGCACTTAAGGCCACAAAGTGTGTTTAAACATGATGCCAGGGGTTGCTCAACAAGCATCCAAATGTGATGAGTTTGGAGTCAGACTCATCTCACTATTGCCAAGACCTGGTTTACTGCACCAACGCCTACGCAGAATATGCTGAAATATCTTGGGCACATCTCTGAGATGCCAGTGCCTTTAACAAAGTGGCAGTATTTGATTAAATATGAAAATACGCTGAAATACATAAAAATCCTCCAACTGGTGCAACAGAAGACTTGGACGCAGTCATGCAAATACCTTAAATTCTGCACACAGTGCCCATTTATGTTGGCTCCTGGCAGACTGGAGCCTTCATATATGCAGCTTAAAATGTCCCCCTGTCCTGGGTTTGGTTTTATCCAGTTTCTTCTAGTTTTCTGGCATAGTTAAAAGACATGGAAGTCTGGCTGGCAGCTTTAAATTGTAAAGGTAGGTCTAAATGTGAGCATGAATGGCTGTCTGTCTCTATAAATCAGCCCTGTGACTGACTGCCAAACCTGTCCAGGGTGGCTTCAGTAGTTTCGATGGCTGTTATACATTAGTTTCTATTAGTTTTTAATATTCATTTGTTTTAGTATTATTAAAGGACTCTCTATTGGCTGGCAGCCCTTGTAAATGCCATGACATTTACAGGTAAAAGATCAAGCTGAAGATACAACTGTCAGGGATTTCCTGTCTGGGACTACATGTCCAAGAACATTCGAGCTGAAGCAGATTGCAAAACACTCTATATTATTAAAACCATTCAGAGTAGCGACTTCCTGTTTCTTAATGCTGTGTGTGAAATTTTCAAGAAAGATTTAAGTAGCCTTTGATTCCAAGTAGTATTATTATAATCACTGAGAACTTCATCATCTTTTTCCTATAGGTGACGCTCAGCTACTGTATATTTAAACCTAACTAAAGTGCCATAGATGCAAAAGGATCAGAGCTTCATCTCTCATTTCTTTGCTACGATATGGGGATGCTTCGGATGAGCATCTGCAGAAGTTACTGACTTACTAAAAAACAATAGCAAAGAAAAGCGAGCTGGTTATGAAACAATAATCTGTTTTTAATCATTTCATAAATGGGTAGAATTACCTTCTCTA